TATGTGTGTGGTCTATGTGTGTGTGTGTGTGGTCTGGGTGTGTGTGTATGTGTGTGTGTGTGTGTGTGTGACAGTCTTTGTCCCAAGATGCTGGGCATTCAACACCTCTAACCACAGAGGCTCTCTCTGTGCATATAGCAGGGGTTCTGGTAATATTCTGGATCTTAATTTTGGCCACTGAAACAACAGATTCTGCACCAGCCAGAATTACAGATTAGGGATCTCTTCTCTGAAATGCTTGGGATGATAAGTATTTTAGTCTGTTTTTTGATTTTGGAATGTTCATATATACATAGTGAGATATCTCCGGATAGGACTCAAGTCTAAACACAAACTTCATTCACATTTAATATACATATAGATAGAAATTCTACATAATATATTTAGTATTTTGACTGTAACCTGTTACAAGAGGATGGGCATGAAGTTTTCTATTGAGGTACTGTGTTTTTGCTCAGAATGTCTGAGTCATTTTGGATTATTTCAACATGCTCACACCATTGTTACACAGGCTCAGCTCTCACCGTGTGCCACTTCCCATCATGGTATCTCTCCTTGCTCCTGAGTCTCAGTTTCTTCCCTCCTGCCCCCAAAGCAAAGACAACACGGCCTTCTGAGATGTAAAGAGCCATGAAGGAGTCCTTGGTGCCTGTGTAAAACACCAGCCCTTTGGAGGAAGTTGTCTGTATGTCCAAAGAAAACTGTGACCTGTGGATAAAGAAAGAAACAAGAAACAAGTCCTGGGCATGCTGTCCTATAAACTGTAGTTCTCAGGAGCCCAGAGGCAGGGAGATTACAAGTCTGACACCAACCAGGGCTGCTTAGAGGTTTTTAAGTATACAGTAGTTATATCTTTTCTCAAAACAAAACAAAAGCAACAAAGACAAAAACCAAACCCAACCCAACCAAATCAAAAAATAAATAAAAAGGAAAGAAATGGCCAATGAAGGGAAATATATACTTTCAGTTTCTTGCATCTCAGAAGAAGAGTGGGGGTGAGCCAACTTGCCAGAGACATAGGACTTCTAGAAGCCAGAGCATACTTGATGTTAATGTTGTTGTATAGTTTCTTTACTATGTTAGGGGATTGCACAGATTGTCTGTGGCAAGTTTAGCTAGTGGTGTAAGTCCTAGCATGTGGCAAGAAGGAACGTGCTTGGACTTTAAAATCAACATTAAAATTATGGTAAAATTCACCTGAATTTACCATGTCCACCACTTCTGAGTGTCCAGTTCATTAGCATTGAGTTAGTTCATAATGCTGCACATACCATCTGTGGAGCTCCTCCTCATGTGAGACAGACTCTACCTTTTCCCAGAAGCTATCCATCCTTCCTTTGCTCAGTGTCTGGCCACCCTTCTACTTCTGTCTCAGCACACCTGACTGCTCTTGGTACCTCATGCAAATGGAACCACACAGCATTTCTTTTTGTGACCGGATTAGCTCTCTCACTAATATAAACTGAATAAACCCGACAAACATGCTTTCTATCTGTACAGCTTCACAGGGAGGGAAGTCAGAGGAGGACTCGGGGCAGCTTGACTAATGAAAATGTGACTTGGGCATCAGATGAGCATTTTCTCTCTATGTGACATATTTAACACAAAGGCACAGGAGTACAGATTCACCTTCTCCTGTTCTCCCTATTTCTCTGACTCCCTGACCTCAACTCTCCTGGAAGAGGAATTACAAAATATTATGTAGTCAAAAATTGAGAGCTAGCATTAATTTATACGATGGTTTCATAACATCCTCAAATTGAGCCAAGCAAGCTTTACTGTATGAAGATTCCTATGCATCCATCCATCAATCTATCAAAACTGTGTAACCATCCAACAAATAGTTACTGAGTGTTCGGTGTGCAGAAGGCACTGTGCTGGGCACTGGGGATACAGTCATGGAATTTTGTTTTTTTGAGTAGTCTATGGTGTGTGGGGCCGCCAACAAGTTCATTGAAGTACAACTTGAAAAGGCAGTAGAGATGTTTATACCCATTCCCTGGGGTTCATGTCTAAGTACTCACTAGTGGGCAGAGACCAGGTTTATTTTTCTAGTAACTATATGAGCAGGGTCTATTCACACTAGGCATCCAACAAACAGTGACTAAATTGAGTTAAGGAGAAAATGAATAATTCAGAGGTAGAATCTGGATGTGGATAGCAACATTATCCTGTTAATTCTTTGCTTTCCAACACTGTGAGGCTAAGATACATATTTGTTCATCAGAGGAACAGGTTTTCTGGAGGGCAACATTCAAGATAAAAAAGAACTCATATTTGTTAAATGAAATCACCCAGATGGCCCACGGCTCTATGTTTCTCCTGACGTGTCGTCGCCTGTGTCAACTTAAATATTGGGACTCACTCCAGAGCACACAGCACTTTGCATACGTGGGCTCCGTGATCGGACTTGACATTTGCTTTCCACTGCCTTTCTTAAGGCAGTCTTTTTGAAGAAAAGACTAACTAACATTTCAAAAAGGCAGCAGTAGATTCACATCCAAGAACATGGCAGCAGAGCTCTGACTCCTCGTTGCCGGATGAAAGCGGAGAGGCTCAAGAGTGCATTTATATACTCATTGCTGGGTGAACGTGGTGGCTCCAGATTTGGGGGAGCTGTGCAAGCATAGCTAGAGCACAGGTTAGAGTGAATCCGAGTGAGGGTAACAGCACACACTAGAGCTGGCAACTTGCCAAAGACACAGTTGTTAAAGCTGGTGGGACTGGGTTTAGCTTACAGTTGCATACACTAATGTGATATACAGTTAATATACAGTTAATCTTGACTGGAAACTTGACAAGCTTTAGAATCACACACCCTGTAGCATGACAGCCAGAGCATCTTCCAGAGAGGTTTAGTTGAGGAGGAAAGATCTATCCAGAATGTAGGAAGCACCACCCATGGGCCAGATCCCTGACTAAATAAAAAGAAGGAAGCAGGCTGCACACCAGCTACCCATCTCTGCTTCCC